CCCCCCCCGGCTGGGGGGGGGGGGGCGCTGGAGGCGCCGGCGGCGGCCAAGAAATTCGAGCAATTTCGCTTCATTTCCCATCAAAATTTTCCGAAAATAGGCCTCCGAAACGTGCCGTCAGTTAACAGCCAACTGCTTGAAAAACATGATGTATGTGGGTGATAGTCTAACTGCATCTAGTTGATTATTGTACACTACTGCTTCAAGAAAGGTCAGCCGTATTGCACGCCGAAACAGGAAAAGCAAGCTTGCTGTCGCAGAAAAGCCAAGCTACAACAATGAGAATAAATGGCACAACAATGAGAGATAAACGGATAGTACGTAGCTGCAGCTGCTGTGTGCTGTGTGCTGTGCAGCTGTGGGGTTCTGTGTGGAACATCAGGGGTTCCGTGGAGTATTTATGGATTAATCGTATCAATATCGAAATATCGAAATATCGAAAAGTTCAAATGTTTTCGATATCCGATATCGAAAGGATAAATCGATACGATATATCGAAAAACTCGGTACGATACCCGACTCCAGTTCCTTGTGATAAATAGGACAAAGGGGATGTGTTTACGTACGCCCGAGGCGATCTGAACGGCAATGGTGAGCTATGCAGCTCGTGATCTGTCCTATATGTGTAAAGAAACAGGTGTCGTTTTATTTCTTTTCCCGCTCTGCTCTCTCGACCGCGGCGTCTCTTTTTCAGCATACCCCGGAAACGTCCTTCCACTTTTTTTTTAATGTTTTTTTCCCGCTCCGCACTCTCGCTCCCGCGATCGTGGCGTTATCGTTTCGTTTTCGTTATCGTTTTCAGGATATCCCGGACAAGTCCCTCCAGGCATACGCCCTGCGGCTGCCTGACCCGGCCACGCTGGCGGAGGAGATGGACGTCATCGACCCGGACGCGCTGTACAAGGCTCTCAAGTAGGGAGGGGAGAGATAGAAAGATGAACAGCCGCGTGGAGCTGCTTGCACACACCTCCGTTGCTACTGGGCATGGAACGTTTTTTTTCTCCACGCGGTGTTTGTAGACCTTGCTGGCGCATGCTCCGCCGTGTTCATCGATAACCCTTTGCCATTGTACTGACGGCTCCTTTGTGTGCTTGCCTCCGATTGACTAGCGGAGCTCGTTCTGTTGGGAGGATGCTTTCGTGCACATTGTGAATGTTTTTGATTATATTTTTTGTCCTCCTTGTCTGCGGCCCCCTCCCCTTCCTTGTTCGTGTTCCAGGCACGTGCGAAGGTCATTGGCAGATGCCCTGGCGTCGGAGCTCCGATCAGTGTACGACAGCGCGGCGCCGAGCGGGCCGTATAAGAAGAATTCGGCGGAGGTGCGGGAGGGGATTTGGGGGGGGGGGACGCTCTTGGGAGTTTGGACTGTCTTTTGTTTTTGGTGGACTCTCCTTTTTTTTTTACGGGTCTTTTCGTGCGACGCGTCTACTAAATACCATGCCTGGTATGTTGTTTGTCTTTGCCGTTCATGCTTTCATGTTGTTGTGTCTTCCGCTGTAGTGCCGATCAACCGACAACCTTCGGGCCTTTAATTTGCTTTCAAAACGAAAATCCGCGTTTTCCGGTGGTCTCCACCCAGTCTAACATGTAAAATTTTCACAAGTGTTTTCTTGCAACGTTCCAACACTTGATGATCACCGCCGTGCTTTTTTATTATTCGCCCAACAAGTCATCCGCTCGTGTCACCTATCTGAAGGTGTTCTCCCACATTCTGAATCCAGACGCACACTTGGCGAGTTGTTCCGACGACATTTCAACGCACGCGTTTGTTGGTCGAAGAGGGGCTGCTGTTTTCCAACTTACAAAGATGTGCGCCCCGACGCTCGCCTCTCTCTCCCTGTCTCTAGCTCACTATCTCTCGTTGTTGCCACTGTCTCCCTGTATCTGTCTCTGTCTCTTTCGCTCTATCTCTCTCTTTCCGCGTGTCTCTCTTCCTCTGTCTCTCTGTCTCTCTCTCTGTCTCTCTCTCTGTCTCTCTCTCTGTCTCTCTGTCTCTCTGCCTCTGCCTCTGCCTCTGCCTCTGCCTCTGTCCACCATCTGTCTGTCTCTCTGTCTCTGTCGCTCGCTCGCTCGTTCCCCCTGTTGCTCTCCCTCCCGCCTCTCTCTCTCCATCTCTCTCTCTCTCTCTCTCTCTCTCTCTCTCTCTCTCTCTGTGCCGCCAGGTCGGCCGTCGCCGCCTCCGCAACACCATCCTGTCCTACTTGCACGAGCCCAGAGACGCCGCGGCCGCCAAGCTCTGCTTCGACCAGTTCGAGGCCGCCGACTGCATGACCGACAAGCTGGCGGCGGTGGCGTGCCTGGCTAACTTCGACGATGCGGGTGGAGCGTTCCCGGAGAGGTAGGTGACGTACCGGTAGTGTCTCACCTGTCTTTGGCGGCTACCTTTGCCACAATTTAGAGGGAAGACATGTGGTGCTTTGACACATCAGATGCACATGTACGCGGCGTTTGTGTGTGTGTGCTTTTGCTATTAACATCGAGCGCGCTAACCGGCTGACCAATGAAAATTCGTCAGTCTCGGTGCGGTTGAAAACACAAAGCACCTCTGAACGCCATGCACTGTGTGTGTGTGTTTTTTTTTGTTTCCGCTATCCCGCGGCGACGTTTGCCACACATCAGAATCACATGTGCACGCGGCCCGCTGTGTGTCTTTTGAGTTGCAGTAGAACCGATCGACCGCACTGACCAATGGAAAAACGTCAGTCTTTCTGTGGGATAAAAAAACGCGAATTCTGCTTTCTAATTGAAAGGGTGCTACCCACAGCGGTGTGGGTGTGTGTGTGTGTTCTTAGCATCGACCGCGCTAACCGGCTGACGAATGAAAAGACGTCAGTCTCAGTACGGTGGCAAACCTAAAATACTCCTTTAGGCCACGATCTGGGACTCTGGGACAAAGTGTCAGGGGGAGTCTACGCTACTCTCCGGATTGGTGACAGATGCTGTACCAATAACAGGAGAAAACTGCACGCGTTTGCCACGGCTGCTACCACTTTGGATGCGTTGCGTTTTGCATTCTTTCATCGTCGTTCCTGCATTTACTACCGCCACTCTCATCGCCAGTATTCCCACTACTTTTCTGGCTGGTCCTCTCCAGTCCCGCGGCGTTTGTTGTGAGCAAGGTCATCTGGCTCAAACCCTTTGCCCTCTTGCACGCTGCTTTCCTCCTCCATTATCGTCTTCGTGCTCCTTTTTTTTCCTTTCCCCTTCTTTCATCATCTTCACTCTCAAAAGAAAAACTCTCAATACCATCGTTATTGCTTCACCCGAACTACTATGTACTGAAATCCCAACCTTACGGTCGTGGTGGAAGTTGGTCGGCCATTTATTAGTCCATGACGTTTGAAAACATCACGAGTTCGTACTGCCAGAAAACGAGCCAGTTCGAAGGTAAACCGCCCCGAATTATGTTGGTATCATACGCCTTCAGGCGAAGCAAGGCTGTTTCGTCGTCACCCCCCCCCCCTGCAACATGTTTCGTATGCCGGTTGCGATAGCTACGATTAAGTTGGTGCCTTGGCTACGTTCTCGTATGGTGGTCTTGGCCAAGGCACCAATTCTAATCTTTGCTATCGCCACCCGTCCTGGCATACGAAACATGTTGCAGGGGAGTGTTTGACGACGAAACAGCCTTGTTTCGCCTGAAGGCTACCATGCCGACGTAATTCGGAGACGGTTTACCTTCGGACTGGCTCTTGTACGAACTGGTGATGTTCTCAACCGTCATGGACTACTGATCGACCAATTTCCTCCACGACCAATAGGTTGGGATTTCAGTAGATAGTAGTTCTGGTGAAAGCGATAGCGACGGTAGAAACTCTGTGTGTATGTTTCGTCCCTGTCTGCTGTCTGCCGCGACCAAAACCGAGAGGCCGCGAAGCCTTGTAGAACGCTCCGCTTAGTTCGTCGGATTCAGGTGGTCATCGGGCATCCGATGTAGCCCTGGGGCGTATGTAAGGTTGTGGCACCCTGGGCCACCGTCGCCGACCGTCGAAGGTCTTATTCAGCCTTGCGAGCACGTTTGGCTTCCGGAGGGACCGGCGAGGAGACCGACCGCATTTTTGACGTGTTTCCGTGGCTCTTGCTTGTATGCATCCCTCTCTCCTACAAGAGTTGGATTGTTCTTTTGTGTCTTGTTGTTAATGGAAACACCTTTACCGGCAGAAGTCGTCTTAGCCAGTATCCCTATGGACTACGTAGCTTCCACTGAACAAGGAACTGATGTGACATCGGCCGGCATGTGTAGTGCAAGCTAGGGAAACCAACCTCCTACGTGACACCCGCTCTCCACACGTTCCGCGGCAGGGCGGAAGCGTTGTCGAAGTTCTACAATGACGCGGACGGTGACGCCCTGGTGCTCAACAAGTGGTTCGGCATTCAGGTATTGGGGGGAGGGGGATGGGGGGGGGTGGCGACATGCATGTAGCGAGCACTGGAACAAGAGCAGCGTTCGTCGAAAGAACGTACATACCCCCGCCAACTGCGAAATATGATACTTGGAGAAAGTACCACGCATGACGACAAAGACAAGACGTGTAACCGTCAAAGGCTGGAGCAAGAGGCGAGCTTCTGTAGTCGACACCAGCCGTTCTTGCGTACCCTTCGCATAGGTACACCCCGCGCGAGTGCTGTGTTGGACTGAAGTGGGGTGCACTGTCACTAGGTTTATGCTATTAGTAAAAATTAACAACACTCCTCCGAGGGAGAACGGGGCAATGTGTGCCCTTCTCTCTAGAACATGGACAAAGCGATAAAACACATAAACGTGACGCGTTCTCCATTGTCCGGCCGACCTAGAGGTAAGACTAGATGGCGACATGGGAAGTACCGCGTGTACCTTCTACACCGCCTCCCGGTATCTCGTCTCTTGAAGTTATAGTCTAACCAGCAGGTGACCCACATGCGGAAATGGCTTCTGGCCGAGATATGACCGATCTGTTTTGATTGGTATGTTTTCGATCATTTTTTTTCTGTCTGGGTGCCGTGCGTGCAACATGTTATATCCTACCCGCACCAGCTAGAACGTGGACGTCTTGCCGAGAGCAATGATTCGACTGTCTCATGTTTCGAGCAGTGCTCATTTTTTTTTTTGGTTCTGTGCTGCAACGCGTTCTCCCTCCCTCCTACTACTCCAGGCCGCGGCTGATCTCCCGGACCTCCTCTCCCGCGTGAAGGACCTGATGCAGCACGAGGACTTCACGCTTAAGAACCCCAACCGCCTCCGGTCGGTTGTATCATCCTTCGCGGGCAGCCAGCACAAGTTCCATGCCAAGGACGGGTCCGGATACGAGTTCTTGGGGGACATGGTGCTTGAGGTGGACCAGCTCAACCCGCAGGCGAGTGCGGCAAGCGGAAGCCGCCTAGTTCTTCGCGCGTCGTGCTTGCCTAAAGTTTGTTTCAAGTTTTGCCTGCCCCTTGTGTGTCTCTCCTCTTTCGTTTTCGACGTCTAGTGTCTCCGCCGTTTTGTTTTCGGCGATAGGGATGGGACAGACATTGGTGTAGGCGTGAGAGATACAGAAGCCGAGATGAAACCGTTGGACATGTCAGCCGCTGACTTCTCGTCTAGTGGTTTATTTAGTCTTGGCTTGCACAGAGACCAAACGTGGAGAGAGAGAGAATGGGGTTGGGGGTCAAGCCTCTAGAGCACACTGGAGTGTCGCGGCCGCACGTGATGCAACCAACCCCCGCCGCGGCCCAGGGCCTTCATCTATGACGTCAGAATATGTCGACTGCTGTGTTTGGCTTTTTTCGTGGGCGGCTAGTGAAACGCACTTGTAGGAGCTGCGTCTGCTTGTCGACGTATGCCCAACGGAGATTCGCCGCCGATGCAAACGGACATTGCCCTCCTGTGTTGCTACTGCTGCGTACTCGCGCGCGTGTGTGTGTTTTCCGCCATGGTTTGTGCAGGTGGCCTCTCGTCTGGCGACCGTGTTCAGCTCCTACAGGCGCTTCGACGAGAAGCGACAGGGCTTGATGCGGCAGCAGTTGGCCCGCATCCGCGACTCGTCGCCGTCTAAGGACACGTACGAGGTGGCCACGCGGTGCCTCGGTTGATTGTTTGAGGCACATGTGGCATCAGCTGCGAGATAGCTACTGCATGCATTTGGGGGGCGGTTGCTTTGACGGCAGCGGTGGGGCGTACTCCTATGTTTTGCATGCCTTAGCGGTTAGACCATTGACCACACGTCCTCGAGAGGACGGAGCATTGTTCCCACAGCACCGATCAACGATGGAATCGTTCCTTTCTACTTTGCCAAAGGTGGCTCAAAAATGACGGTACCGCTGGGGGGTGTTGATGCAGGCACGTTCCTCTGCTGTAGGCACTTGCTGCGGAGTGCCTCGGGAGTTTGATGTGATTCGAAGTTATTGTTGTGCGGAGCCGGCGTCTTCACAGGGGAGGGGGGTGTAATCATAGTCGTGCATGCCGTAGTCGTTAGACCATGACCTCGTATCCCTACGAGGCCGGGACGGAGCACGCCGGGTTCCCACCGTACCAGACTCTCACATCACCAAGCGCGAAGCGCCGTGAGATGATCGGCGAGTCGCATGAAGGGTGCGCTGCATCCTGCTCATGGTGTTCGGCATCTTGTGCTTACTCCCTTGCATACGGCTGACAGCTTCGTATGAATTAATTTTACTTTCTGGTGCTTTCACTTCCAGAGACAGTTATAAGCACTGTGTAACTGCCTCGAGGGTGCTTGACTATTGTAACACAACATGGTGCGATCATCCCCCTTGCGCGGAGTGAGGGTTGTCCACCCCGCACAACATGATAATCTACTCAACCACCATTATAGTCACCGCCAAAAAAATCAGAGGTAAAAGCAACAAAACAAAAACCTGGTTGTCGAGCTCACGAAGTGAATTGGTGTTTTACAACGTCGTTGCCAAGCGACGAAAACCCAATCTCGATGGCAAACTCCGAGCGGGGGGGTATAATAGGGGAGGGGATTGCGGAATGGCGTATGGACGTAGGTCTTTTAAGAGCGTATGCCGCGGTTACCGTTGGGTGGGGGAGAGGGTAGGGTGCTGTCGTATCGCTGGAAGCTCTTCGCTCGCGTACACAGCCGTTTTCTGTGAATGTGTTGTTTGAGTTCGTTATTTGGTGCGCCGCGCGGTTGTGCACTAAACAATTCCCTCATTACGGTGTACCACACTACTGCTGTAATGTGTTTTTTCCCAGCTGCTTCCCATCTTTCCGCAACCACCACGCTCGGCGAAAGATCAGGTTTCGCAGTGTTGCTTGCCGACGATGCGAAAAGCGAGGTTTTATTGTCGGCGCTATTGAGAAGTGGCGTGACGGAGAAGCCGACCGTGGTTGATTCTGCAGCGACATCCCGTCGGTGTTTATCGCGTTGAGGCGCGTGTCTTTCCTCACAGCTATGGTACAGTGGTATTGGTCCTGGAGCCCGATGCAGTTGGCCCTCTGTAACTTTTGATTGCGGGCGACAACAAAAAAGCTAAAGGTATCTTGGGAACGCACGCGGCAAGGTGCTTAAGACTAGCAAGACGACAATAAAAAAAAAAAAAAGGGGGAAAAGTGGTCGAGGGCCGGCCTCGAACCACGGACGATGTCGTTTCAATGTAGTCTTCTCGATACATTTTCCTATTTTTTTTTTCGTCGAATCCTCATTTTTTAACGCCCGTGTGACTAAAAACTACCGGAAAGCTGCTCTTACCAAGCCCCCCCGCCACTATATGACCTATGGCACCTTCTGCACCTTGCAACAAAACGAAGCAACCGAGAACACCCCAAATATTACGATAAAATGCTATAAAAAACAGGTATGTAAAATGAGAAAAAAAACACGCCAAAAAACGCAAAAAACAGACGAAATTTAACGGTACAGTATGTAAAGGTTTAACTTAACGAAAATTTAGGGGGCATTCGCAGCCTTGAGCTTGTACTCAGATGGTGCTGGGCGCCTGTGCGATTTGTACGTTTGGTAGTGTTTCTCTCCCTCAGGCCCTACAGCACGCGTATCACGGTACACCAAATTATGTGTGTACGACTTCTTGCAGTACGCCTGCACCGTTCCCACGGCTTGCCTATCAGGCTCTACTCTAAAGCTCAACGGCACGTTTTCCCGCAGTGCATCTAATGAGTAGTTGCAATGCTTGCGTGTCCAGTCCTTGGCGCGGCCCCAAACTAGCTCTATGGGGTTGCACTCGCAGTGGTACTTGGGGAGCATGATACAGAACCCCCCGTGGCGCGCCATCAGGAGCGCTAGGC